CCAAAGGTATTTCTTTCTTTAAGCAGACTCTGTTCAGATATATTCTAGTCAATCTCAACTGATCCTTTTTAATTGTAAAAGTAAAGAACACCCCTATAGGTGAAACCAAATATATTAGCAACCATATCTTAGAAGCCTTCCAGGATATTGATCAAATTGCTTTTATTAAACCTCTCTGCTATGAAGGAACTACGATCTGCTCAAATCAATAGTTGATTATCTTTGAAACTACTGATGATCCAGAAATTGCTTCAAGAATCCCTAGAACTACTCATGTTAGTAATCATAAAGTAACAACAGAATGGAAAGAAGCTCCTAAAATCTGCTTTTATTGTGAAAGAGAAGGACATATTAAAAAAGACTGTGAAGAGCTTAAAACCTCAATAGAATCTAGACACCGTTTTAGAGAAGCCAAGTCTTGATTAGAGAAAGAAAATACTTAAAAAACAGAGGCCACAAAAATTGATTTTAGCTCTAACAACCTATATAGGAATGTTATGGAAGAAGAAAAAACACAAAAACCAGAAAATATGGAAAATAACTTCAGTCCAAATAACCCATACAAGAATGATATTGAAAAAGTAATTCAGAACAAGGAAGAAGTCACAGCCTAGGCAGCCCAGGTCTTAACTACAACATCAGAAGTCTTAACTGCAACATCAGAAGAAATTCCAAATCCTAGCAAAAGCTTTGATAGCAACATGGAATTGGAATAATAATAAACCCAAGCAAGATGGAAGAAGAGATTATCTCCAACCCTATTGAACAAAATGAGGCTCCTTTTACAACCATGGTATCAAAAAAATATAAAGGTAAAAGCTTCAAGAAGAACAGTCAGCACAGAACCTAGCTATACAGAATTTCAGAAAACTCAAAGCAAAATTTCCTGGGATCTAAGAATCAATACTAAGAGATTTATCTCCTAGTGTAGTCTACAAATACTATAATTTTTATGATTAAAATCGCTACACTAAATATTAAGGGTCTTAATAATAGACCCAAGGCTCAAAAAACTCTTATTCTCTTAAAATCATACAATTTAGACATAATTATAATACAAAAAACCAACTTAAAAGACTTAGGTACAAGACATTTCTTATCACAAATTTGGGGCTTTGACTCTATATGGTCCTCCAAAACTACAATACTAGCAGGCAAAAAGAACATCAAGCTTATCGACAAAAAAGAAACACACAATGGGCGAGTTACCAAAGCCAGAGCAGAGATCAAATATCAAGCTTTTTATTCATCAATGTTTATGCTCGACCTAGTCTAGATGAGAAAATATCATTCCTTAGAAATTGGTCTCCGGACACTTTAAATAACTGTATAAGCATCATTGCAGGAAACTTCAACACCAACCTAAATCCAGAAACCAATAGAATAAGCCAAGCACCAGCACAATATGACCAATCCAAAGGTCTTCTAGAAAGCTTAACAAAGGACTATATCGATACAGCACTCTTCTCAAAAGAAAATCCTTTT